AATATTTCGTGAGTTCCTCATTTTTCAATGCAGCATAGTATTCCATTGTGTGAATATACCACAGCTTCTCTATCCATTTGTTTGTTGATGGACACTTAGGTTGTTTCCAACTCCTTGCCATTGTGAACAAAGCTGCCATAAACACGGGTGTGCATATATCTGCTTGGGTGGCAGTTATGGTTTCTTTGAGGTATATTCCAAGTAGTGGAATTGCTGGGTCAAATGGTATTTCTATTTGTAATTTTTTGAGAAAGCGCCATGCTGCCTTCCATAGTGGTTGCACCAAGAGCTAAGAGCCGTTTGCCCAAGTTTGTTAGACAAGTCAACAGAAGCTGTCCTAACTATATTCTAATATTGAGCTGGATTATAACCTTTTGATTTCCCCAATATAGTTCTGCGAGCTATCACATCAAATTTTGGACTCATTAAAGGAGTAAGATTGGTGTTGAGAGGCATAGAAACAGGTTTGAGAGTGTGAGGGAGATGTCTGACCTCATGGGAATTGGTTTTATGTTGCTGATGTTGATGGGATATTTCCCCTTTGTGAAGTAAAGGTCAGCCATGGCCATCCCCATGTGGCGCTTTCTGTTTTTACAATTATGAGTAGGTGAAATGGGCTAGCTCATCAAAGTGAAAACTAGAAAAGCAATGTCTGTGTTTCAAGTTTGTTTTTTTAAAAAAAAAGAATGGTTGACTGTCATTTTCAGACATCTGTCACTATTTATTAGAACATGGAACTAAGGTACAACATTGAAGGTTGAAATAGATGGTTGTGTTTTACAAATGGAACATAAAAATATTGTTAATACTCAACATTAGATCGATTTATCACAATATTTGTTAATATTTACATTATGCAAAATAATGTCATACAATAGTCAACACTGTAAGTACTATTTCTTAAACTACAGAACGATCTTTTGAAATATACTAACTCAAGACATTGTTCTAGATGAAAAATTGAAAACTAGCATCCAAAAAAAGAAAATCTTACATCCAAATTAATTATTCCACAATATACGAATACTTTCTTTGCTTCTCAATAGTAACTAGACCTTTCCACCAACCTGTACTACAATTTTAGATTTGTTTTTACATATTGTCAAGAGTCAGAACCAACTCATAGCTGACCCTTTAGTGGCCTTTCAGAGGCTGTGAACTATGCAGAAGGAGATTGTCAGTCTTTCTCCTGTGGGCCAGCTGGTGGATTTGAACCACTTTCTTCTGGGTTGGTAACTCAACTACATATCAGTAGGTCACTAGACCTCCCTTACTTTTATAGAGAAGGATGTAAAGGGTGAACCTTAAACCTGACAAAACATGTTAATTTTGTACTCTGAATCTAAAATGTGGGCCCTGCCAAATAATAGTGCTCTGCCTTCTTTTTTTTTTTTAAAAAAAACTTTCCACGTTCATTAGCAAACCACTATAACTCTGCATTCTTGCTCCCATTTGGTCAAAGGGCTTTTGTGTTGCCTTACCATCCAGAACAATCTCAAGTATTTGTTGAATGGGTTGAACAACAGCTTCATGTAGTGGAAACCACCCCTTCTCATCAGCTTCATCCAGCGCGTATTTGTACTTCACATAGCCCTGGAGCTTGAGAATGTGACCTAAATGAAACATGTAGGCAGATAACAAATCTATGACAGGTAAGTTCTACAATCCACCCCATTGCCAACAGTACCCCATGGGTTTACCTTGTTTTATGGCCTTTACAAGCTTCCTGTTTTGGTCACTTAGGGGTACAAAACTGTTGGAAAAAGAAAATAAGTCATAGTTACATTACAGATATATTTACGTATGCAGATATACATCAAAGAACTGAGAATTTTAGTTCATGTTGTTTTGGTGCACAGTTGTAATCAAGATTCACTGGACATGTACATAACTCTTTCTACTTAAAAAATGTGAATGTCTGAAAGATACTGAATATACTTATGAAACATTGAACCTTGGAACATTAATGAAAATCACAAAATACAGGATAACAACTCAATTAGTACTTTTTTTTCCTTATCATGCACCATCCTTTTTTGCACATTTATTATTATTATTAATTTTAATGAAAATTTACAGAGACTTTGGATTTCCATTTACTCATTGTTGTACTTTTCTCTCTGCCCACCCCTCCCCCTCAGTTCTCTCTTCTCTTCGAAAATTCTTTCACTGTTATACAATCCCTGGCTCCAAGTCCACTCCACTATTCAGCCTTCATTCTGGACTCCTGTCATAACAATAATATCTAATCATATATGCACTCGATTAGTTCTAAGCTTTGAAAAAGAAGTAAACACTTAGAGGTGGAGTCAGAAGAGCTGGGTTCAAACCATAGCCCAGTTTTGGGTTCTGTGATCCTGGGACGGCCAATTGGTCTTCCAGAATGTTGGCTTCCTCATCTGTAAGATGATGGTACTAAATTGGACAACATCTAAGATTTCTTCCATCTTTCAAAAATTCCTTGTTGAATTGATATCCCCCCCTTCAGGCATAGTAACGGCTAATTAGTCACTTACTTGTAAAATTATGATCCACATGGCAGGTTAGAGTTGATGTACAGTTGGGGGAAATAAAAACCCTCCAACAAATAAAAAACAACTAAAAAAAAAAAAAAGCCACGCATTTATTGAACATACTCTCAAATTCCCAGTAACTGGTGAAGTAATTTGTGATTTAAATCATATTGATCTTCTCTGGTGTTTGCATGTGTGTGTCTATGTGTGTTTGTGTGTGTCTATGTGTATTTGCGTGTATCTGATGGAGAGGAGATATTTTACAACCATTTCTTTAAACCTGGCATTTCTCAGTGGTGGCAGTAGTTAAGTTGCCTGACTGCTAATCAAAAGTCGGAAGTTTGAGTCTACTCAGGAACTCCTGGTGATCTACTTCCAAAAAAAATCTAGCCTTTGAAATCCTCGTGAGTCACAGCTTTGATATGACATATGTGAGGTCACCATGAATCTGAGTCAACCTGGAAAGAACTGGTTTAACTGGTTTATATTCAACTCTTCAAAAGCAGAAAAATATACTCGTATTCTAGGGACATGAGTTCTTGAATCTTTTGGTGAAAAGGGACGTTTTTGAAAAGTTGAACTGTAAAAACCCCACTGAATCTGTACAAAAGTATTATTAAATCTCAGAATGCAGAATTCTAAATATAATCATAGGATGTACAAGAAGATCAGAGACAATAAGTTTGGCTCAAGATAGAGCAAGTTTCAGAACTGTCATATGTAGGGTCCCTATGAATCACAAGAGAATTTATGGCACCTAACAATGACAAGATTAAAGTTTATATTAGTCTGAAGTATAAAGTATATTGTTCAAGACAGTCTTTTTTTGTGATTAAGAATTATTTATTAATGTTGATGAAATTACAGCCCAGATTTTATGAGATAGCATTAACATCAAACTTAACAGGATGCTTAAAGACAACTCCTTTTAAAATGACTACGTATTTGTCAAATGGTGCTATTGAAAACAAAATGGTAACAATTCACACTTTTGGGTTTTTTTATTTATTTTTTTAAATTTTATTATTTTTGTGTGCGTGTACTGTCAAATCAGATCTGACTGGTACAGGAGGAGATTGCTCCTCCTTCCTCGGCAGAGCATCTGGTGGATTCAAACCGTGAACCTCTGGGATTGTAGTTGCAGCTTCTTGCCACTAGGCCACCAGAGCTCCCCTACAATTTACACTTTTGGAGCTCTGTTTTCTTCAGATAAATTTATAATCTTAGTTTTCCCAACAACAAAAAACAACATTCGATATCTTCAAAGGGAACCAAGAATTGACAATATGTCCTTTTATTAATCAGTAGTCTTGAAGTAAACAACAGTTATAGCTAACATTTACTAACTACTTACAAGTGCCAACTATTATGCACAGATATTTATAATTAGTATGTTGTTTAATTTTCACAAGTTTGTAAATAGTTTTATTGTCTCCATTTTTCTTTCTTTTTTTAAATTTTTTTTATTATTTGTGTGTGTGCGTGTACCATCAAATCAGATCTGACTGGTACAGGAGGAGATTGTCCCTCCTTTCCTGGCAGAGCATCTGGTGGATTCGAACCGTGCTCCTCTGGGATTGCAGTGCAGCTTCTTGCCACTAGGCCACCAGAGCTCCCCATTGTCCCCATTTTTCAAGTCAGAAAACCAAAGATTGTTGAAAGTAAACAACATAGTACGGAGAACTAATGACAGAGTCAAGAACAGAACTCCCCTCTGAGTGAGCAGGAGTGCTTGATTCCTGAACTATTGCTTAAACTGCCAAAATAAATGTCATAAAAAAAATCCACTGGGGATATCTGGAGACAGCAAGAGTATGATTATAAGCTAAGTGATAAACCATCTGCACTAAACAAAACAAATTGTTTTTATTCTTAACTAAAGATTCCAAAAGATAAAGAGAAAATCTTGGAAAGGTGATCATCTCTGTCAAGACAGAATCTTACTTCAATTTTAACTCCACAGTGCCAGCTAATATCCTCCTCTCGTTACTGTGGAGAAAGAAGTGACTCACTGCTGATCCTCTAGCAGATTTTCAGATTGTAGCTCCCACAAGAGGAGACCCTCTGTCTCCTGCAGAGCTGCTGGTGGATTCGAACCTTTTCACTTGTTTGCTCCTATAATCTGGCCAGTAACTAATGAAATAAGTTATCGTTTCCATTTTAACTTTATCATGTTGTTGTGTGCCATCAAGTCAGAACCAAACCATAGTTGACCCTCTGGTGGGTTTTTGAAGGCATTTTGTTACACGGGAGGAGCTTACTCATCCCTCTCCCATGGAGTAGCTGCTGGCCTCGAACCACCTGCCGTCAGGATTGCAGCACAGCTTCTTGCCACTAGGCCACCAAAGCGCCTTCACTTTATCATAAATAATAACTAAAAAGTCACAAATCTCCCATTCATTGAACTTCATTGAGTGCTTAGAAGAGATAGCATTCTTTTCCAAATTTTAGAGATGTGAGAAGGAAATATGGAACATATAAAACATTACCTGATTCAGTAATAAAATTTTCTCTAGAATAGACAGGTTTCTGTCTATTTGATTGTATTGACTATACTTGGAAATTTGCTAAAATATTCATTATTCTTTTAAAAATGTACTAATTTTTAAAAGATAGTCTGCCATATATAACCACAAATTCATCTAGGCATTTCCCATTTTGTTTATTTCTGTTTTCCACAAAATGACAATTTATGGAAGAATAAACTTCTGAAGTCAAAGTATGGTGGATCTTGAAAAGCCATTAATTGGACTCTTTGCTAGGAAAGAAACATAGGTGTTCCTCTGGAAGAATTATCAGGAAATGTTGGCGTGTTGGTTTTGGTTTTTTTTCCCTGACAACAAAACAAATGCTCTAAGATGTTTTGTTGGTGGCAGGCCAGTTCAACATTACCTTTCAGGATAAAGTGCGGTCTTGTTGGCTTCAATGGATTCCTGAATGCTGAGCTGAAGGTCATAACTTGTAAGAGGGACTTCATCAGCGTCATCGTCAGTATCCATACCTGCATTTGATTTTTTAAAGAGGCAATTTTTATTTAATGGTAGATCAGCATTTAGGGTTAACAGGAGAACCGTGAAATGAAAAGCTAAAATTCATTCCTCCTTCCCCAGTTGACGACTAGGAATGCAGCTAACATTTTAATGTATTTTTATGTACCTCTACATATTTTCCTATTTTTTACATGGAGATATATATGTATATACAAAGCCACTGCTGTTGGGTCAATCCTGACTTCCCTGGACCCCACCAGACAAAGTCACACTGCTCCATAAGTTTTCCTCTGCCATATTTATGGAGGCACAGATCGTGTCTTCCCTCCTGAGGTTGCTAGATGGGCTCCAACAGCCAACTTGTAGGTGTTTATGGAGAGCAAACTAGTTTTGCCGACCACCAAATATTTTATACATACCATTTTGTTAAGATGTTCTTGCTGTTCAAATCTTCAATTACCTATGTTTTCGGTCTCTGCGTTTTCTACTTTTTAACTTTTTTTCTATATGCAGAAAAGATTTTCTGAAAGGCTGGGCTCTATGAGAAGTGTGGCGTCAGGATTGGTGGAAGAGTCATCAACAACCTGCGTTATGCAGATGACACAACCCTGCTTGCTGAAACTGAGGAGGACCTGAAGTGCTTGCTGCAGAAGGTCAAGGACTGCAACCTTCAATATGGATTGAGGCTCAATGTCAAGAAGACAAAGATTCTCACCACTGGACCAATTGGCAGTATCAGGATGGATGGAGAAGAGATTGAGATTGTTCACAGCTTTAGTTTGCTTGGCTCCATGGTCAACATTCTTGGCAACAGCAGCCAGGAAATTAAAAGACGTATTGCGATGGGAAAGTCTGCTGTTAGGGACCTCTCCAAAGTACTGAAGAGAATGATGTCACTTTGGAGACTAAGGTGCATCTGATACAGGCCATGGTCCACTCGTTATGCATCAGATAGTTGAACAATGACTAGGGAGGATCGAAGGAGAATTGATGTCTTTGAGCTGTGATGCTGGAGAAGAGTATTGAATATACCATGAACTGCCAGGAAAACAAACAGATTCAACCTGGAGAGGGTTAAGCCGGGCTGCTCCTTGGAGGCAAGGATTCTGAGGCTCCGCCTGACATACTTTGGACATGTTTTAAGGAGGAACCGGTCCTTGGAGAAGAACATCATGCTTGGGATGGTGGAGGGACAGCGCATGAGGGGAAGACCCTCTATGAGGTGGATTGACTCAATGACTCGGGTAATGGGGGTGGGTGTGTCGGAGACAGTGAGATTGGCACAGGACAGAGCAGGCTTTAGGGCTGTTGTACGTAGGGTCGCTATGAGTCGCAAGCGACTCAACAGCACATAACAACAACAAGAGGTGTAGTTTGGTTTCCGAAGAATTTGCTTTTGTTTCCCCTGTTACTCTTTTACACCAATGTGGCCCATGAGTCATCTCAGACACTTCTGTATGCTACACATTGGAAACTTAAAGGCCAGACCATGGAGGAGTAAGATACACTGTTAGAGAATGATAATCCTTTCATGCTCTTTACTGTCTCTGCTTCCGCTGTGTTTGCTTATTTGTCTCTTTATTCCTTTTCTCACACCCACAATGCTTTGACTTGGAGTCTCTGAGTTGCCACTTTATGCTTCTGCATGCTCAACTTCTTTAAACAGATTCTGATTTTGACGCTAAGGCTTTACTTCCTACATCCCCGTATCCTCTATTTCTGCACAAGGTCTCTACAAGGAAACTCCTGAGTAAATGTTGGTTGAAGTAAATTAAAGTGCCACACATGTAATTTGATAGGGCTGAGAAGACCCAAAGGGTGCGTTAAGTAGAAGCAACTGAAAATGTCAGCGTCTATGCTTCCTGAGAAACCGCTATCTAGTTTCATATAGGAAGCATCCAACTCTCAAAACTTTAAAAATGAGAGAGGGTTAGGCAGACAGAAACAGCCGTAGGCACTTGGCATGCATTTTGTACTGACTCATCCTGTTTGACGTGACAGATGGCCTGGCTCCCTGGGTACACCAGAAAGGCACCTCTGTGCTCTTGTACTGGCTGTGATTCTGCCTGTGGGATGGTCCTTCCTAACACCGTGGCAGAAGGAATCCTCAACACTGAGAAAGATTAAGATTAGAAATGCTGGAATAGCTTTGGGACATAGAGGATAAAAACCAGTGTTATAAGGTAGCTTCTTGAATAAAAGCAAAGAGGCTCTGGGCCAACTTGCATACTTTATTGTTGCCCAATTCAGTTCTCCCTGTTGTTGTTTTGTTCCTTCATGAGTCATAGCAACTCTGTGTACAATAGCTCTGAATCCTGCCCTAGCCTAGGAAATCTCATTGCCTCCAACACGACCACCCCCTTAACCCCAATTACTGAGGAAACCCATCTCATCCGGGTTCTTCTTTTCCTGCTCTGTCCCTCCACCCTTCCAATGTAAAGCAAGGTCTCACCCTCCTTGTCTCTATTCTTGTTACCGTTGTTATGTGCCATCAAGTTGCCTCTGACGCATAGTGACCCTGTGTGCAACAGCTCTGAACCCTTCCCTGTCCTGAGCCAGTTTCACTAATTCCAACACATCTAACCCCATTGCCCTAGTTACTATATCAATCCGGCCTCTTCCTCTCCTGCACTGTCCCTCCACTCTTTTAAGCACAATGTCCTTCTACAAGGACCGATC